AAAGTCATATTTTGGCTCCTGTGGATTTGGTTTAATTTTCCTCAGCTTCAGCTTGAACTTGCATATGAGTAGTTGGTGGTCTATTCCACAGTCAGCTCCTGGCCTAGTTTTCACAGCTGATACTGAGCTTCTCCAGCGGTTTGCAGTATACATTACATTTATTCCCTCTTTCTCAGTCTTCCCTCAACTCCTGTGTCAGTCCCTTTTTACAACAGTGGCATTATGCAGTATTTGTCCTATTGTGACTGAGATATTTCACTCAGCATAATGTCCTCCAGGGTCATCCATTTTGTATATTTCATGAGTTTCTTGTTTTTCAATGCAGTATAGTATTCATTCCATTGTGTGAATATACTACAGCTTTTCTATCCATTCATTTGTTGATGGGCACTTGGGGTTGTTTCCAACTCTGCTATTGTGAAGAAAGCTGCAATAAACATGGGTGTGCATGTATCTGCTTGGGTGGCAGTTATGGTTTCTTTAGGGTATATATATTCCAAGTACTGGACTTGCTGGGTCAAATGGTATTTCTAATTGCAACTTTTTGAGAAAGTGCCACACTGCCTTCCTGCACCATTTTGCACTCCCACCAACAGTGAATAAGGGTTCTAGTTTCTCCACAACCTTGCCAGCATTTGATGTTTGCTGCTCTGTTAAATCTTGCTATTCTTACGAGGTTGAGATGGTATGTCATAGTTGTTTTGGTTTGCATCTAGAGCTAGGGATTTTGAACATTTCTTCATGTGTGTGTTTGCCATCTGAATGTCTTTGGTGAAATGTCTGTTCATATCCTGTGCCCATTTTTCAGTTGGGTTATTTACCTTTATCTTGTTGTGGTGCTCAAGTATTTTATAAATTCTAGAAACAAGTCCCTTATCTGATCTGTCATTACCAAATATTTTTTCCCAGTCTGTGGCTTCCCTTTTTATCCTTTTGGAGAAGTTTTTGGATGTACATAGGGATTTTATTCTTAGAAGATCCCATTCATCTATTTTTTTCCTCTCCTGGTTATAGATCATTTCCTTTTTTTGGTGATGCCAGTGCAAGTATGTATACAAGGCAGATTGGTTTTTCCATCCAGCCACTTGTGCACATTGTTTTGTGACATCACTTACAATACCCACAGTGTAACAGACTCTTCAACTGTACTCCTGTGATTCTCATTTCCATTCTTCCTTCTGTCCTACCCCTTCTGGCCTTCTTCATCCTGGGCAGATGGAGATGCTGCCCTTGATCTGTATTTGACTGTTCTGAGCAGAGAGTGGCTTCCCAGTGTACTGTGCTTGTTCCTGTAGATACATTTGCATTTGCATTTCCCTTGAGTGGATGGGTACCAAGCCCCTTCAGTCCACCACTGTGTTTAATTTGCATTGTTTTCCACAGTGGTGTGTACATACTGTTCGTCTCCATGAATTCCCACCAGCACTTGCTGTTTATCTCTTCTAGCCATCAGATGGCCATGCAGTAGTTATCAGGCTGAGTTTGATTTGTTTGATGGTCAAATGTTGAGCATCTTGTTTCTTGATACTTCGCAAAACGTCTTTGGAGAAATGGCTATTCCTCTGCCTTCCTAATCCTTTTAACTGGATTCTTTTTTAATACATAATATCAATAAAGTCTTTTTCAGCCCTGGTGACACAGTGGTTAAGGGGCTCGTCTACCAGGTCAAAGGGCAGTGTTTCGAACTACCAGCCACTGGCCTGGATAAAGACATGGCAGTCTACCCCTGTAAAGATTATAGCCTTCCAAAACCCCAGGGGGAAACTCTGCTCTGTCCTCTGGGCCCATCCTGATCATATGTCCAAAGTCTGAAAGGGAGAAGGAACCCTAGCTTCTGGGACACCCTCTGGCTGCACTTTTGTGGTATATTCAATATCCTTCATTAATACCATGATTAGGTTTTTACCTACTTAATTCCTATTTTACTACCTCCAAATGAAAAATTAAATTACTGAACCCACTTCATAACACTATAAATCTATAGCTGTTTCAGGGAGCTTTACTACAGGTGAGGGCAGAGCTGCCCAGGAAACAGGTGTGGAGTCTTTGTTCTCAGGCCATGCCCAGGAAATGGCACTTGGTAAATGAGACATTTTGTCAACAACAAAGAAGCTAACTTTTTCCGGTAAAGCCTTGATGACAGTGACTGCTAATGGAAAGATGGGGAGTTTTAATCCAGTAGGGGAGAAACTGAGATCATCACCTCCCTAAAGATTTATAGTGGTAGACATTGGAAAATTGCAGAGTCAGAATCAACTCAACAGCTCTGGGTTTGGGTTGGGGTTTTAAGCAACCCCCAGGGGCTTCGGTATGTGAGAGCCTCTCTAGGATAGGAGGTCTCACAGGCAGACAGCGTGGTCAGGGACGGCAGAAGGGTCTGGACACCTCTTGTGATCCTGTGAAAGTTTGTGAGCTGACAGAAGAGAAAATTCAGGGTGGGGACTAACTAGGTCCTGGCCATGGGTACAGGGTTAGAAAGCACTTCCTGTTCTTTTCCCAAAACAGCTTCCAGAACTCCATCCACCCAGACACTGCTGAACTTCCCTTGCTGTCTTCTCAGTTTAGTGAGAGGGATTTGAGGTAGAATCTCCAGCTCTGGGTAGCATTCTGCTGTGGCACCTGAGCTCTTGGGGGGGGGCCTCACTCACTGGACTCTGCTCCTGGCTGCTGTCCTCCAATGTGCACATAGAAGGATGACTGCTTAGCTTCCCTCTTGGAAAGAGGTTCAGATGATGGCTAGGCACTCCAGTGCCCAAGGCAGAACCATGCCCATGCTCCTGCACTTGGGAGTTTAGGAAGTAAAAAGAAGAAGCTGGAGACCTGAGCCCAGGAAAGGAGGTGAACAGGTCTTGTCACAACTGGGCCAGGAGTTGTGGGGGGCTGGGGTTTCAAGCTGCCTCTCCTTCCAGGTCCAGGAGAGACAGCAGTCATGTCCAACGAGCCGCCCCCTCCATATCCTGGGGGCCCCACCGCCCCCCTTCTGGAAGAGAAAAGTGGAGCCCCACCCACCCCAGGTAGGACTTGGGCTCCTGAGGGTCCCTGCCCCTCTCCACAGGGGCTTTAGGCTCTCACCATCCCCTCTGCTGCCCACCTCTGTATGCAGGCCGAGACTCCCCTGCAGTGGTGCAACCCCCACCAGGCATGCCTCTGCCTCCAGCAGACATCGGCCCTCCTCCCTATGAGCCTCCTGGTCAACCAGTGCTGCAGCCCAGCTTTGTGCCCCCCCACATGAACACAGATGGCACCTTTGTGCCTCCAGGTAAGTGCTGTTTGCTGTACACACCATGCAGCCAGGGAGGAGTGTGTATCCAGGAACTGAGCCAAGGAGGCCTGGGGGCTTTCTCCCCAAAGCAGCCCCAAGTGCTGGTTTCCCAGGCTGCTCTGCAGGCTACTTCTTCCCTGTGGGCAGCACTAGGACAGCCAGGCCTAGACCTGACCTTGTGTTCAAACCCTGGTGACCTGGGCCCTGGGGATCATGCTGAGTAGGGAATGAGGTAGGAGTTGCTACAGACCCCACCAGACCTAAATGGGAAACTGGACCTTGTCCGTCCTCAGCTCCGTGGCATGTCTGCCAGGCCCAGGCACTTGTGTGTGGGCCTGGGTAAGCAGGTGGTAGGAAGGGCACTGACTTGTCTCCTTACTGTTGTGTTTTCTGCACCTTCCAGGTTTCTACCCACCTCCAGGCCCTCACCCAACCATGGGCTACTACCCAGCAGGGCCCTACCCACCAGGCCCCTACCCTGGCCCAGGGGGCCACACAGCCACGGTCCTGGTGCCATCAGGGGCTGCCACCACAGTGACAGTGCTGCAGGGAGAAATCTTCGAGGGCACTCCCGTGCAGACAGTGTGTCCTCACTGCCAGCAGGCCATCACCACCAAGATCTCCTACGAGATCGGCCTGATGAACTTCGTGCTTGGTTTCTTCTGCTGCTTTATGGGGTACGTGTGCGGGGCCTGGGGAAGGCTGTCCAGCCCTCTCCTGGCCCCCTAAGTTATCTCACTGTCTGTGCTGCAGATGTGACCTGGGTTGCTGCTTGATTCCCTGCCTCATCAATGACTTCAAGGACGTGACCCACACCTGCCCCAACTGCAAAGCCTACATCTACACGTACAAGCGCCTGTGCTGACGGAGCCTGACCCCTGCCCTCGGCCTGCTCCTCGTGCTTGCTCCCTGCCCTCTTGCTCCTCCCCAGCTGGAAACCACCTCACTACCCCAGGAAGCCTTGTGCTCTTCACCCTCCCTCTCTCTTATCCCAGTGACTTCCAGCAAGTCAGTTTCTCGCTGAGACCAGCAGGTGGCAGAGGTGACAGTGTTCTGCGTCCCTGGTTTGTGTAGAGTTGGTGACATCAGCTGCGAAAGGTCCACAAATGCCCCCTGCTGCAGCCCTTCTGTGCCCCCACCAGGCTCAGGCTTGGTTCGGTTCCGGTCCTCCCAGAGACTCAGAGCCTGTGTTCCCAGGATGGTGGACACAGCACTACATGGCCAGCTCTGGTCTGTTGCGGTCAGTGGGTCTTCAGACTTTTCTAGGGTGTTTTGTGTCAGGTCCCAGAGACAAGGAGATGAGATCAGGAATGGCTGTAAGCTCTGACCCTCAGACTCAGGTAATGAACCCTGGAACGCTAACATCCCATTTGAGGCCCTGTCGAGGGTAAATGACCCAGCTCCACCCAGCCCATGAGTCAGTTTGTAGCTCCCTCTGAAACCCGAGTTTGCCAGGTTTAGAGAGGTATGGTGTGTGCCTTGCACGCTTTGTCTACTGGGGTGGCATGTCCCAGCTCTGGTGAGTGAGGCCCTCATGGACACGTCTCCCAGGTAGGAGTCTGGACAACTGGCATGTAACTGTGTCCCACCACCGTAGTCCCCACACCACTGCTGCATGGCCTCCTGTGACTGCGTTGTGGACGGTCTGTAGTTCCTCATTAAATTGGCCTCCACTGCCTGCACTGGGCCTTGCGCTTTCTCCTGGCTTCCTTATTTGCACGGGGCAGGGGGCAGCTACAGTGGCTGCAGTAAGGCATCCTCAAGCCCGTTATCAGCTGCCTGGTCTCAGAGTAACCAGGTCAGGGGCAGTGAAGCCCACTAGGGCCACATACATATCACAGCATCTCCTGAGACTGTGAGCGGGAGTGGCCACGCTCCAGCCAGAGACAGGGCCATGGCAAACACTGATGGCTCTTCAGCTGAGGAAGTCTTCCCACTATACCTTCTGTTGAGTAGAAATTTTTACAGTCCCCCAGTATAAAAAGCAGGTGAAAGATTTCTATTAATAAAATAATCTTAAGTCCACACTACTATTAAACTGTTCCATAATAAACCTTACGGGTTTTGGTTTTTTAAGCCTTATATGAAGAAAATGTAAAGCATAGATAACCATTTATATGGAAAGTTTTTCACTGGGAAACCACACATCTAGCTGAGATTTCCTGGCTCCAACAGAGACGGCAGAGCAGATCTGGCCTGGAATGAGGGAGGGAGACAGGTGGTGTCACAACATCCTGGAAGGTCTATACCTTGCTGTCAAGGGCTCTACCCAAATGTGTCAGAAGAGCCATGGGAGTCAAGTGGGATTCACTTTATTGAGCACTTACATGACCACTGGGGTTTTCAGTTGAGGGATCTTGGACCACAGAGGTCCCTGCTCCCTCCACAGTGTTCTCAGAAGAGAAGACCCCATGTCAAGAGACCAGATTTCTGGGGAAGGAACTCTAGGCGCCAGGACTACAAAGAGGACACAGGCAGAGGCTTCAGTGACTGGCTTTTATTGGTGGTTTTTCTCCAGTCTGGTATTCCAAAATACCTGAGGTGGTGGTGGGACCATCACAGATAGTACCAGGCTAGCAGTCCGGCCACCAGGGCCATGCTGGCAGCGAGGATGAACTGGAGGCTGGGCATCCTCAGCGTGACCCTAGCTGTTTGGAAGGGGCAGTTGCTGCCCTCCAGGGCACCTATGTGGTAGTGCCAACAGGAAACATGTCATTAGGGGGCTGTGCCATGGTACCTGAGAGGGCACGGGAGATGCAGACCTACCTATGTCTTGCTTCACAGCATAGTAGGGGCATTTTCGCATGTCTCCTTTCCCGTCATGCATGGGAGCCCCATCTGCCAGGCCTTCAGGAGCCTCTCCAGCCAGCATGGAGCCAGCCTGGTCCAATTCAGTGAACACCTAGAGAGCCAGGGACCACAGAACCACTCAGAATTCTCACCCTCAGCTCTCAGTGTAGCCTGATCCTCCCTGAGGGTCCCGGAAAGAAGGGCTGACCTGGGCACCAACCAAACTCTGTGCTGGCCTGCTTGGAGGTGTGAGCAATGCCTCCAGAGGCTAGTGGGGGTCGAGTCTATAGCAGGCTGGCAGGTGATGTCCACTCTCCCAGTAGGGCTAACAACCCCTAAAAGTTCTTCCACACAGAGTTCCTCTCTCTGTGGCTTCAGTCACCAAGCAAAGCTTCAAAACAGCCCTTAGTACACACGCACCAACCCAGAATGCTGTGGTTGGGGGGGGGGGGGAGCAGCACCTTTCTTCCAGATGCCTCAACACTGCCCATCAGTGGGACTCTGGCCTCTGGGGGCCAGTGTGATTCCCTCCATCAGCAGGCCCTATTCTAATCCTGTAGATTCCCTTTTAGAAAATTATGGATTTGCCCCTCACTGCCTATCCCAGGTATAAGCCCCATAGTCCCAGCCACTCAGAGTACTGACCCCCATGGCACCCCCATGCACACAGCACCGCCACTCACATGGCACTGTCCCATGAACCCCACGGCACCCCCACACACCAAGCACTCTCCCCTGACTCCCACGGCACCCCAACCCATACAGCACTGACCCCCATGCACCCCAACAGCCCCCCATGGCACCTCCATGCACACAGCACCTGCATGTTGAACTCAAAGGCCTTGTTGGCCTCCTCCACAATCTTCTCTTTGGTCTTCAGGGTCAGGTCCAGGGCATTCATGCGGGCTCGGTACAACTGTTTGAACTGCTGGGCATTGTCCACATTCTCAAAGAAGTAGAACTGAGTCCCCTCCCCGGTGCTGGGGAGCCTGAGAGCCCGCTGGGCCACCTTCTTCAGCACTTGGCCCCCTGAGAGGTCCCCCATATAGCGGGTATAGGCGTGAGCCACCAGCAGCTCTGGCTCATGCTGCCCCACATAGTGGATCCGGTCCACGTACTTCTGCACAGCCTCAGAGCACTGCACCTGCTCCTCCCAGTTCTCACCAAAGAAGTACTTCATGTCCTTGGTCAGCGCCTCCTTCCGGTGAAGTTCCAAGGGAAAGTATAAGGGGGCGAAGGCTGGATGGTCCTTGTTGTGCTCCATTTCCTCCTCGAGGGCCGAGTATGTAAAGTAAAGTGCAGTGGTGGCCAGCTATGGACAGAACAGGGAGATGGTGAGGAGGGGCTGGCCAGCTGGGCGTGACACACGCCATCCCTTCCCGGGAAGCTAGAAACGGCACCTCCATACACACTCCTGCTCTCTCTAGAAAGCTCATTACCACTACAGTTCAGGGAAGCCTTCTTGTTTTTCAGGAATCAAGTGGGATCTTTGGGACACAGACACTGCATTTCTGGCCTTGCTACTCCATTTAGGCCCCACCTGTGGGTTCTGCCTGACTGTGATTCTCTGGTTGGCAGCTATGATGCATAGTACATCATCCCCTTGACAAAGCCAAATAAAACTACTACCATGATGAACTCTGCTATTAGTTCAATCTGAACTCTGCATCTGGCTTAACTAATGGGCTGTGGGCTTGAACTGGCAACCTGCCTTACCTGTTCACCCCTGCATTCATCAGCATCAGAAGCCAACAGCCCACTGTCTGACCTGCCAGTGTTGGGTTTCCCAGCCATGACAGCTACGTGAGATGCTTCTAGCCCGATTTCTGACCACGGACTTGGGACCTGCCAATCCCTACAAGAACCCAGTCTAAAATAGGCCCCAAGAACCACAGCTTGATTTCAGGATGGAGCTGAGTACAAAGCAAGGACCCTAAAGCAGCTCCAGCCAGAAGGTCCTTCTTGGGACCAGGTCCCCCCGAGCCAATGGCTAAGGTATTTAGTATGTGACTGAGGGCACGCACCTTAAAGAGCTCCTTCTTGATGTTGCCTCTCAAGAAGTCTTTGACAAACTGGGTGTTTTCTGCCCAGTCATGTGCTTCCTTGGTCCCTTCCTTCAGGAGTTCCGAGAGGTCAGATATCCTGCAGACACACATGAGTAGCTGTGGAAACTTGTTCATGTCTGCCTTTGGAAACAGCCATGCATGGCTGCAAGCCAGGTACTAATCCCAACCTTGCTCTGTCATGGAACTGAGGCTGATTGCAACGTCACTCCTTGAGCCAGCAGGACCGTGCCTAGTTGCTGAGGCCTGCTGTAAGGATTGGGTGGCTTGGGAACGAGCACAGCCTATTCCTCAAGCATCACATCTGCTATGGAGTAACTGTGGAAGCCGCACTGTGCTGCTTTGGCTGGCTGGTGCGGAGACGAGCACTTACCCTCAGCAGAGCTCACAGGCCTTACTGAGGTAGACAGCGCTGGTACACGTTTCTAGTTTGGTAGCCACAGAGAACTGCGGCCTGTGTCTTGGGCAACTTCCCTTCTCCCTTGCATCACCAGCTTCTTCAAGATCACATGTACAGACTACCCAGGCCTGGGAGAACGAGGGTGAAACAAAGGCTGGAGAGGCTGGAGCCAGGATCTGGTGTCAGTGCTGTTTAAAAATCCACCCAGGAAGAAGCTGTATGGTGATGGGAGCTAATCGGAGAGACCAGGGGGACAGTTTCCTCAAGCCAGCAGACAGGTGGTACACAAGCCCCTCCCAGGCCCCCTGTCACATCCTAGCTGGCACTAGTCAGGTATGGAGAATTCATTTATTATTATTACCTCAAGTTATATAAAAGGAACTTCCAATGACAGGAAGCAATGATAGGAGGTGCAGGAACTGGAAGCTGGTTATAAACAGACCTCACAGGGCAAGAACTGCCTTCTCCTGGAGCAGGTTAGAGGCAGCCCACAGTCCAGAATGGCATTTACACAAACGGGGCCTCTGACTACTAAATACAGTCATATTACTAAAATCAGAATGCTGAGAAAAGAGGGCTACCAGCCAATCCCAACAGCATTCCTAGCAGGCCAGTCCTCTCTCCAGATAAGACAACATGTGGGGACAAGGGACGATCTGCGCTGTCCCAGGCCAAACCCGAGACATGAGGCACACACCTGTACCACTCACCTGGCCTGGCTCTCCTCAGCAGCACCAGCCTGCTCTTTCTCTGACTCATCCAGTCCCTCCAATGTCTCCAGCTCCACAGACATCTTGCTGGGTGTGGGTCTGGACACTCTGAGCCCTTGATCCTGAAGAAGACATGAGAGCTGATGGCATAGTACTTGCAGGTGCCTACCTCTGCCACTCCCCAGACAACCATCTGTCCTGCTCTCAGCCCACACAGTCATCTTTCAGATTTAAACCCTGACATTCCTGGGCCTTGTGAATATAAACAGAACGGGGGTACAGGGTATGCATGAAGCAAAAGTACTGTATCAACATGAAATTTGCTGAGCTACTTTTTACAACTGTATTGTGATTCTATGGGAATGTCCTTATTCTTGGAAAACCCACCAGTGTTGTTAGATGAGAAAGGCAGGCTGCAGCTTGCCATTAGATGGTTTTAAAAGTGTACAACACACACACTTATTTACCTATGAAGTAAAGGAAGGAACCAAGTGGACCAAGTGAAGTAGTCAGTCTGTGTGAAAGGTATATTAGACATCACTGTACTTTTTTACTGTAGGTTTCAGATGATACAGAGAGAAAATTACCAGGAAAGAACCATAATAATAAAGGCGACACTGTTGAAAGCCTGAAAAGAGCATCTGGCTTGTACCCTCAGATACTGCCCTCCAGTGGCCAAGGGTGGTCAGCTGAGGCCAAGGGGCCGTGGGGGCAGGGGCTGTCAATTGCCAGCAGCTTGCTTGCCCAGAGGCCCTCCCCAATGGGCAGGAGTCACAGATGGGGCCTCTGCTGGGCGGACCCTGCTGTCACTGCCAGGCTGAGCCTTTTTCAACTGGGAAATGGAGGTCCCACTACGTGCACAAGCTCCATCTCTGAGACCTCTCCCTGACAGCGTCCATTTGGAGATCTTCCTGGGTGGACTGTAGGGCAGGTGCACCAAAGACTGACTAACTTGCAAAGATGCAAACTCACTGCTTCTTACTCCGTCAGGTCTCTAAGGCTCTAAATGTCTATGGAGCAAAATACTTCATCTTTCTCCCTTGGAGCGACTAGTGGTTTTAAACACCTAACAGTGGTTGAGACCAAATGATGCCAGCCCCAAGTTAAAGACAGAAAAGACCTCAGTATTTACATACTGGACATTTTCTGCATGATAAAATAAGAATTATTACATCTGTGGAAAGAATCACTGGAGAAGCTCAGTATCAGAGGTGAAAACTAGGCCAGGTGCTGATTGTGGAACAGACTATTAACCACTCATACAAGCTCAAATGGAAGCTAAAGAAAATTAAATCAACAAGAACCAAAATTTGACTTTGAATCTATCCCACCTGAATTTAAAAATCATCTTAAGTACAGGTTCGAGGCTCTAGACACTAATTAACCAGATGAACTGTGGGAAGATAGCAAGAATATCATCCATGAAGAATGCAAAAGGTCGTTACAAAGACAGGAAGAAAAGACCATTTGGCTGTCAGAAGAGACTCTGAATATTACACTAGAACTCTAAGAAGCCAAAGTAAAGGGAAGAAATCAAGATGTTAAGGAGCTGAACATTTTGAAGGACAGCTCAGGAAGACAAAGGAAATAAAATGATATAAAGAGCAAGAGTCAGAAAATCAAGGGAAGAACTTGCTCAGCATTTCTTTTTTTTCTTTTTTTGACGGCAGAATGAATAAGTTTTTACATATGTAGAGAAAAGTTGGTGTGCACATCAGCCCAGTTTGGTGGTGAGTTCTTTGGCCTTGGCCTTCTCCAGCTTGGCAGTGTGGCCACTGACTTGGGCCCCAGGACGCTGCCTCCCCAGTGGCGGCGGAACTCATCATATCTGTCGTTGTAATCGGTCCAGAGCGCCTTTATCTTCCAGGTTCACCTGCGTGGAGGCAAGAGTGATAGAGGCCTTCTGATGGACGAGGTGGCCCAGCCTGGCCTTGCCCTTGATGATGCAGTAGGGAATGCCCATCTTATGACACAAGGCTGGCAGGAAGACCACCAGCTCTATGGGGTCCACATCATGTGCAATCACCACCAGTTGGGCCTTCTTGTTCTCCACCAGACTGGTGACCGTATTCACCCCGGCATGGAGGACAGGGAGTCCCGTGGTAGGGGTGTCTCCTTTGCCAGCAGTCTTCTTCTCAGCCCGGGCCAACAGCCTCTGCTGCTTCTCCTTCTTGTTCTGTGGTGGGTACTTGTGGGCTAGCTTCAGCAGCTGAGTAGCAGTACAGTGGTTCAAGACCTGGGTAAACTGGTTAATGGTGGATGGCATCTTGAGTCATTTGTAGAAGACTGCCCTCTGCCGCTGCAGTCGGATGTAGCAGGGCCATTTGACAAAACAGGTAAGCTACCTTTTGGGTTGGATGTCCTGCCTGATGTCAAAGTTTTTGGGTCTTTTCTCAAACAGGGGATTCACCACCTTCTTGGCCTCCTGCTTCTTGACCATGGTGGGCGCCAGGGCCACCCTCTTCCCCTTGGCCTTCTTTCCCTTCGGCATCTTGGGCAGATGAACGAGAGCTGCTCAGCATTTCTTAAGCTGAAGGAACTGAAGAACAAATTCAAGCCTCGAGTTGCATTACTTAAAGACGCTAAGGACAGAATATTGAATGATCAGGGAAGCATCAAAAGAAGATGGAAAGAGTACACAGGGTCACTGTACCAAAAATAATTGGTTGACAGAGAAGAATTTCATCAAACAATGTACAATCAAGAGCCTGTGGTGATGAAGGAAGACATTCAAGTTGCTCTGTGTCTAAAAAGGAAAGGCCAAACAGATGCTGCCCTAGATGTGCTCACCAGGTTGTGTCAAGAAATCTGGCCAACTGACTGGAAGAGATCCTTATTTATTTCTATTCCTAAAAAGGTGATCTAACTAACAGGATGTGGAAATTATTGAATAACATCATTAATATCACACACAAGCAAAATCTTGAAGACAATTAAAAAACTACTAGAACAGTACATCAACAGAACTATCAAAAACAAAAGTGGGGTTTAGAAGACGCCAAGGCATGAGGGGCATCCTTGTCAATGTCAGATGGATCTTGACTGAAAACAAAGAGTACCAGAGGTATATTCAGTGTTTCATTGACTGTGCAAAGGCATTTGACTGTGTGGATCACAACAAATTGTGACCAAACTTGAGAAAAAATGGAATCCCAGAACACCTGCTTTGTGCTCATGAGAAATCTAAGACCAAGAAGCAGTTGTCAGAACAGAGCAAGGAGGCACTGCCTGGTTCAAAATAAGGAAAGGAGCATGCCAGGCATGCATCCTGTCTCCATACCTTTTCAATCTACATGTGGAAAAGATCATTTGGGAGGCTGGTCTTTACAAAGAGGAATGTGGTATCAGAACTGGAGGAAGACTCATTTAACAACTTGCATTATGTAAAGGATACAGCCTTACTTGCTGATACAGGGGAAGACCGGAAGCATCTGCAGAAGGTCAAAGACTACAGTTTTCAATATGGATTGAAGTTCAATATCAAGAAAATGAAGATTCTCACCACTGGGCCAACTGGCACCATCATGACAGACAGAGAAGCGATTGAGACAGTTAAGAATATCAGCTTTCTTCCTCAAGCTGATAGTTTCACAGATCTTCAAGAAACTGTGCCCTTCCAACCCCTTGTTAGAGAGTCATCATGACTGTCCTGTGTGTAGTAAAAACTTCACTTGCAACTCTCACCTTGTTAAGACACCTGAGAACTCACACAGGAGAAAAACCCTATAAATGTATAGAGTGTGGGAAAAGTTTACACACGGAGCTCACATCTTGCCAGGCACCAAAAAGATTCACAAGACGGAGGCTTTTCAGTTTCTGAACCAGAAGAATGTAGATGAGACCTTACCACTGATCCAAGCTGAGGGGACACCATCTATTGAGAAATCCTATAGATGTGACGATTGTGGGAAACAGTTCCGCTGGGCTTCAGATCTTGTCAGGCACAAAAGGACATACAGGAGAAAAACCCTTTTTCTGTACTATTTGTGGCAAAAGCTTTAGTCAGAAATATGTGCTAACAACACACCAAAGGATTCACCTTGGAGATAAACCCTACTTGTGTGGAGAGTGCGGAGAGGATTTCCCTGTCCACAAGCTGTATCTGGCACACCAAAAAATGCATGCAAACGAAGAACTTTATCTGTGTAACGAGTGTGGATGGTACTTCAACCACAGTGCAGCTTTTGCCAGGCACCTGAGAGAACATTCGTCAGTGACGCCCTCCTAATGCCACAAATGTGGGGAAAACTTCAGTCGAAGAGATCATCAGGCACCTGAGAACACTGGCAAGAAGCCATTCATGTGTCCTACCTGTGGAAAATGCTTCAGCAGAGGATACCACTAAATCAGGCACCAAAGGCTTGACTCTGAAAAGACCCCCTAGCTAGTTCCTCAGGTGAGCTACAGTTGGCCCTTACCTGTGGGTGGACTAAGAGAAACCCTCTTGTCAGCCTGGGAGACCTTGTCTAGAAAGTCCCTTTCCACAACCAAATAAAACCCTGGGCAGAGCTTCTCCTCTTTTAAATTTTGAGGATATATTGAATGGAGTGTTCCTGCCTCTACCTCCGTGGGTACAGAGTAGGAGAATTAGAAGATGTAGGAGGTTGCGGTTATGCTGTTTTCTAAAAATACCTTGTTGCATACCCTGAAGACTCCCGACCACCTCGAGTTTAAGTGGCCAAGGACAAACCCTTAGGTTTGGTAAGGGGCCAGCCTTAAGGTGTGTGTTCTTTCTGAACTCACGTCTTAAAGCACACAGCGCTGAACTCAAGGTGGGAGATCTGGGTCCTGAGGACTGCTGCACATCCACATGATAACTGTACAGATCCCTTCCTGAGTCAGTTGTTCACCATGCACTTTCCTTTGATGCTGGAGAGTTAATTTGATGAGTAAAAGTCTCAAGGCTGCTGTTTATAGACCTTTTCAGGCAGTTTCCTTCCCTACTGTCAGAATGGTACCTGGCCAATCACTGCCAGAAAGGAGAACTTAGTGGCCTCTGTTTACTTGTGGGTTTGTTTTTGGCGTTCCCTTCCCCTTCCCCTTCCCCTTTAAACTACCTTTAATGCTTTTAGCTTTCCTTTTATTC